TTTTTCGTTTTTTTTGTTTTTCATTCATGCCATGCAGTTCATCTACAGTGGAACAGAAATGCTGAGATGCAGAGAGCTGAACTAAGAGAGAGAGAAAAGAGAGAGGCTAAGCTCTTTTCTTCATAGTGGACAAGTCACCTTTCTGTGAGCCCTGAGAAGGACGCTCTGAACAAGATTTCCAATTGGATGAATGGGGAAACAGTACGATGGCGCCGCTGTCTATTTTCATTTAAAGCACGTGCAAGATCTCCAAAAGGTAAAGGAGCGGAAAAGATTTGGCTGATAAACTGTTCGATTGAAGCGTTTGATGAAATTGACTGTCAACGTGTGTTTGAATTGCATAGCGTTGAAGGGCATGATGGGTGTTTTTCCACACATTATGTGTATCTGAGACTGGATCGAGGGTTTTTTGTCCACTTTCAGGTGCAATTATCATGGTGGAGCACCCCACAAAAATAGTTCCCATCACTTTAAAATTGCATCCATTTCCATCAGGTCGAGCCAGGACATACTACAGTTTGTATGCTGAATCCCACCCGTATTCCAAGGCCAGCGATCCCTGTGTTCCACATCCTCCCAGGACGTGATATTGTCAGTTTATTGCACCTACGTTGGGGGTTAAAATTAGTAATGGAGAGATGAACGTTACAATGTTTTCTTCAAGTTGGTTTAGTGAAGCACTCCTTTCATCTCTCGTTTTCTCTCTTTCGCCATCACTAATCCTGCGGTGACCCTGGGGGTTGCCTCTGGACAGGTTTTGCGGTTGGGGAGCTTTAGAAAAGGGGCAGTTCAGAAGCTCAGCACTGTAGGGAAGAAAAGAGAAAGACAGAAAGAGAGGGGAATAGGAAAACGGAGGACAGAAAAATCAGTATCGCGCCACACGTCGCGTCACCTTTATACAAACGCATTAAAAGCTATAGGCTACACACTGCTAGAGGCTTTCGCAGATGCCAGCCATTTCAGACCGCGCAACTGCGAGAGCCAAAGCTAAAGAAGCTGAAATGTTTTCTTTTTGTTTGTTTTGGAATGATGTCCATGGAACATTATTTTCATGAAGTCTCCTAAATACCAATGTAAAAAAGAAACGAACCAAAAACCCAAGTGTACTCATAGCAAAGCCCATCGTAACATGCGCTCAAAAACAAAACACACAAATGCAAGACTCTAGGAATCACACTCACAAAAAACAAACACACACGAAGCTGAATAAAAGTTCCAGTCGTTGAGGGCCACAAAATCTTATTCTAAACCTACGTCAATAAAATCAACAGAATCAATTAACAATGATTGATTTTGTCAGCCCTCTAGGATGGACCAGAACAAAGCAAAAGCTCATTGTACATCAGTTAATCCTCTTCACACAAAGGGTGCTTCCCAAGACGACTCGCTATTCCCCATGAAGTGCCCTTATTTTGATATTTTACCAAACAGTGAAGCTGGCATAGGGAATAGAGAGCGAGTGCACCATTTCAGCACAGCGCCAAACATGGGAAGAGCGGGAATACAAAGTGTCACACAAAGAAAATCAAAACACTAAGCACACAGTCAGGCACATCACATGAAAACACGCAGTGTGACGCACAGAACACCATACGCACATTCTTACACTGAGAAGCGTTCAGCTCCCTTCCTCCTCTCTTTGCTTTTTTTCTTTCTTCCCCAAACTGTCCTCCATTTCACGATGCCTTTCTTCATTTGTTGACAATCCTCCCAAAACTCTGTTACCCAAACACACAATCTGTCCATCTGACCCTCATGCTTTCATCTCCTGAATTTGGTTGCATCCTGATTCCACAAACAGGTTTGTTTTGTAATCCACTTATGGCAGACCGTCATTGAAAAGTTCTCTTTTTTTTAAACAAATCACTCATTATTTTTCCTCAGTTTCTCATAATGTCATCCGGGCTTTTTTGGTTGTTATTTGGAAGCAGTAAGAGTTGGGAATAAATGAAAGTGACGGATGAAATGACGAAATGAAGGGCGAGAAGGACACTGTGGAAAAGGAAGACTTGGAATGAATGTTGGGATCAAACATGATTATTTCATATTTACACAAGTGCATGCGTACACGGGGTGTTCTCATCTGCCTCTCTCTTTGTTTCGAATGACATCATTTTGGAAGCACTGGTATAGACAAACAAAAAGAGATTTACCTGAGTAGTGACAGGGCAGTGTAAGTCAGAAACAGAGAGGATTCTGGATAATGTCGCTAAATCGTTTGAACTCGACCTGCTCTCCATTTGAATCAAACGGATTTCAGTTTCTGTGCTGTTAACTCCACATGCAGAGAATTATTTACACTGTCCTGCGTGATCACATGCAGCCTCTGCTTTTACCAGGGCATTCGCTAACTAAGCTAACTAGTGGCAGGCCTGTCTCTTCCACATCGTAACCTCAGAACTGAAATAAAGGGATAAAAGTGGAGCCATCCCATCCACTCTGTTCACCCTGACTACACCTTAACAGATAGACTACACACAGCAAAACCACAAAATGCACTAGGGATCTTGAATGTGTGGAAACATGCATTGCTGCAGTGAGCAGACTTCTTAGCATTATATTCTTTCTCTCTGCTCTGATCAGTGTTTAGTGAACAGGAAAACACTCCTTCTGGTCTGAGTCTGTTCAAATAAATGCCTAAAGAATCTTTTTTTTATCTTAAATATAACAGGTAAACATTAAGGGCTAAAATCTGTATTCTTAGCCTCTAAAGTGACAAAGGAGTGCTAATGATCTACAACAGCGAATGCTACGTCATCCCCCGTAAAACCAGCAGAGGGGGCTAGAGCTGAGGTTAACGCAACAGCAAGGGGGAGAAAAACAACTAATCTGCTCTTTAATAATGCAAAACTAAGATGATTAAACAAGATTGATGACGCCATGAGATGAGAATACAAACTAAAATGCACTTGTACGGGAGCTGATACTGGTTCGGGGGCTCAGGTGTGCGTTTGGGAATGTATTTGTGAAGGAAGAAGTGGATTTTCTGTTCTAGTCTTAGTTCACAGTTACTGCTTCTTTTTGCATATATCTGATAAGCACTGGGCTTTCAGAATAGTTCTCTGTGAAAAGATGAAAAAGAATAAATCATAAAATGACAATCTGCAATGCTTTTGATGTCTAACAAAGAAAAGAAAACTTAAACAGGTACATAGTTAAAGCACATTCAAAACCCCACATTCAATACAACAGTTGTAAGGGTCTCTGCCACCCAATAGCATCTTAGCATGCAAAACTAAGCCCCGCCCCCCACAGCAATCAAGTCAAAAATGACAGATTGGTAACAAAACATCAATGGAAAAAAGTTTGTACATTTGTTTCATGCAAATCATTAATATGCATGTGCATATGAATATACACATCCATATGTACACACTCGTATCAACAAACAAATACATAAACCTCTGTTAAAATACATTTTCTTATCAAAACACAGACTTATAATTTCCTTATTGCTCGCAAAAGAAATCCATGCATGTGGAAATTACAAAGTCAACCTTCAAAACTGTACAAATCATTAATACCTGAACTATACTCCCTCATAAAGAGCATTAAAAAACACAGAAAGGAAATGAAAAGAGAGATGAAGAGGAGGAAGAGGACATGGAGGAGACACAAGGTGAGAAATAAAACAGTGTTTTGGCTGGACTTTAATCATACCGGCATTTTAGTCTTCCTCTTTCTCTCCCTCTAAATGTACCAGGTCATTTGTCTGAATTTAAGATTATAAATAATGCACACTTGCATTTGTTTCTTTTACAAGGTACCTTGTTACATACATTTTTAATATACACCTATTGAAGGAATAAAAAATCTACATTATATAATTTGCCTCACCGCCATGCAAAGACAAAACACTGTAAATGCATATTTACAAAATGAGCAAAATCAGCTCTCCTTAAGACTATTATCTGTTGTGTGTTGGATGGGTTTGACTCAACTATGCCCAGATTCAAGGAAAATCCTGTGGTGTAGTTACTGCGTTTTGTCTTTAAATGGCTAAATAACCTGCTAGTTCAAAAAAAAAAAAACACTCATAACACTGATCTGAGAATTTCCCTAAAACACTTAAAGGTGACCGAATACTCCAGTTACACAAAGCACGCATGTAGCGTAACATATATCCACCAGATGGCCCTCGCTCACTGTCCTGAGGCCTTCAATGTATACGAAGCATGTACATAAAGCAGTGCAGCGCACATGCAGCCGACCGATGATTGGTGTTTTACTCATTAAAGCAGTGTCACACATTAGTTTGCTGCTGGCATGCAGATGCTCCATGTAATCAACAACCTCTGTGACTTTCTTCACTCTAGCAGTGAACTTCTTTAAACAGAAAAGAAGAGAGGAGG